ATGAATGGATCTTTCATTTGTTAAACCCTGCATTAAAATGGTTTTGTAAAATGAACTGATTTATTTTTCCCGTCTTGCCTGCTTTTGAAAATGTTGATGTAAATTAAGCCCAGAACATTTTCACTTTTAATCTAATTTAATGTCATTCAGTGAATATTTCTTTCTTTCTTTCCATCCTTCCCTCTCCTCTGTGGTGGCAACATCAGATAGCCATGTGGTGAGGGTGCAGGTGGCAGAGGATGCAGATGCTCTGAAAGCCATTAAGTCTAAATATCAGTTCTGACTCGTGGATCATATTCTGTCTGCCTCGATTACTTTGACTAGAGGTAACAACCCATGAAACCAGTTCTGGAAACGGAGTAGAAACCCACAGAAAGGGCACAGCTTCCAGTGCAGTTTTGGTTCATATGGGCGTAAGATGCATGCCATAACATTCCACCAACTGTTTACGTGATAGATCATTAGTTAATGTTTTGCTTAATGCACAGCTATAAAACATTTGTAGTGTATTTTTGAAAGCGGACAAGTCAAATTTAATCATCAGAAGCAACTTTGACTAATGATGATTTATTTTAAACATTTTTTAGAAGAGCAGATTTTAACTTTATCTGTGGCAGTGAAACAAAGAACCCTACATATAATGTACATAAAACAACACATAATACACAATAGTTAAAAAAAAAATACAAACAACAGCAAACTGAAATGAGGCTGGATGTTTAATGCACACATTACAAGCCAAAATGACTGCCACCTCCTTGGAATTCAACGGAATAAGCCATTTTACTGTATGTTGAATGAATTCAAACATACAAGGCTGATTAAAATTCTTTGTTTGTCTCAGTGTTTCCAACCAGGGTCCAAGTGAGAGGTGGCAATGAATAAACAAATATGTAAATCTAATTTAATTACCATTTTAATGCCTCATTTATTCATTCATAAGCTCTTTCATTAGTATGTAAATAAAACCATATCGGTGACACAGATGTGGTCACATGGAAAGCCTGTTTCAATAGGTGTTCCAGTGTTTCTAGCCACGTTAATGGTTCTAGGGTCTATCACTCCAGTTAAAACTGGCGCACAGTATGTCAACAATCAGTGCATGGGTGGTTTTGTATAGACATTTGTGGTCCCCAGAGGATGAGCTACTTATTTTAGTGATCCCCTAACTTCCTGAAATTCATTTGACAGTTTAGTGAAATGTTTACCCTTCCACATCTATATGTTTAATCCCACAACATACAGGTATGTTGATAATGAATTTTGATGACTTTTATGATCCCTGACTCTCTTCTAGTACCACTATGTGGCTGACATTTGGGGTTTTGACTGAAATGAAAATTATGGGATGAATTGCCATACAGTAAATTTCAATGAATGACCCTCATCAAGTCATCTTAAGAACATTTTTGTTTGTTCAGTACTTTGTTTGATGACCAAATACCTAAAAAACTAATCACAGCAGTGTCAGATTTACCTTGTGTTTACTGCTACTGTAAATGGTAAATGTTGTAGTGCTCACATATTTAACTAATGCTGTGAATTTACCTGCAAAGCATCAGCAGGTTTGCAGTGAGTGTTAACATGTTAATGTATGCGTGTTAGCATGGTGACATTAACATCTATCTCAAAGCACCATAAACAGCCACCAGCACGATTATGTCTAACTATTATGACTGAAGCTGATGTTGCTACTTTACAGACTCAGCTGGCTTGGCAGTAACATTTTGGCCTCTATACTCTCCTCATTGACTTTTACTTTTCTGCCTGGCTGTGAGAAGAGTGAGAGAGGCCGGTATTTGTTTTACTTTGCTGCTGTGTTTCCACCCTCCCTTTTTGTTCGAAATGCACCCCGGGTTGTTTTTGTGAATCACCTGGCAACAGACACATCACTTTGTCTCCATCTTTTCACTGCAAGCGGAAACATCACTCTGATTCTCTTCTGGAGAGGCCTAGCAGAGTCCTACCTGACTGAGTTACCAATGAAGAGCAAGACACATTCTGTGGGTCTGCTGTATTACACATAACTGGCCTTGACAACAATCCCTCCCTCTCTGAACCACCAGAAAAACACAGGGCTTTTTAGGATTAAGAGAAAAGCTTTGCATGTCCCACAGGCTGAGGACTAACATACATGGCTTCCAGTGTGATAATCACATGAAATTAAGTGTCAGCAATTTTGCCAAGTTTTGATCTTGTGCGAAGTGTGTTGAAGTATTCAGAGGCTTGAGGCCAAACAGACATAAAAACACTAAAATTGGTATGTAGCGACTATTTATTTTGATTGATTTTATATTACTGTACAGTACTAGGGTTTGTTTACACCATTCTACAGGTCTGTTTGATATGTTATGACTTTTAGATCATAGACCATTTAACAAATTACCATAACAATGACACTAATAGAAACTATCAAACCTTCTGTAAACCACTGACATTGTGCTGAGCCAACGGGCTATGATTTGTTTTATTTTGTCACTGCTCTGTGACATTCATTAGCACTGTCCTTTCTCATGTTTCTTGCAATACATTTGCTCCTCACTGAGGGGATGCGCTGCAAAATTGTTCATACCACTTTATTATTCTGTGAATCAGTGAAACAAATTGCTGATATTTTGCCTGCACTACCTGAAGATGAACTGATTGCTGCACTGCTACAGTCACTGAATACAGTGTAACACAGGTGTTCTGTCAAGTTGTGTTACCCTGTTGAGATATGCTACTTTAGTATCAGAGTCGATGGATCCACTGACCTCAACCCTAATACTTGACCCTAACTCTAATGACTGCTCATACGCAGAACCACTAAGTAGCACAAATCATTAGAAAACAAAACTGAGGCCGAGCTCTCGTCCTTATCCAGTTATCAAAAGCAACAGAAGTTTTTAGGTGATGAATCGTACTAAAGCACAATGACTTGCCGTCTTCAGGTAAAAAATTTGTGCTTGTCCAGCACTGTTTGTGACCCGTTGCCTAAACTAAAACTAATGTAATCAACCTCAGATTCACTTTTTAAATAAAAACTACAACTGGTAAACATCCACAAGTACCAGTGTAAATGTAAGCATGTTAACATGGCAATGTTGGATTTTAACTCAAAGTATTACTGTGCCTAAGTGCACCCTGCCACAGCCACTATGGAGGCTGCAACCTCCTAGTCGTCTACAGACATCCTCTCCTTAAAGCTACTGCATGTACATTAATCCACATGCATTCATTTCACTTTATCAAAATACAGTACTAATTTTACATAAATTTAAATGTGAGCTTCTCAAACTGCAGTTTTCTAAAATCTACCTGTGCGATGCTGTTACTCATATTCATACTGCACAGATTTATGTTGCACGCAAAGATCCTCATCATGTTTACAAAGCCTCAGAGAAACACTGAAACTGAGGGGTGGCACATTTCTAAAAGGCTTCATTATAATATGCATCCATCATCATTATCACTGTCATTATCAGCTGCATCACCATTTTGTCTTTCTCACATGTGCCAGAATCTCCTCTACAGTTTCCAGAGCATCACTTTTGTCCCCGATGTCTGAACAGAGAAACCACCAGGGGGCCAGCTGCCTGCCTGTGTGTTTGCCTGTACGCTACTCTCTATTACTGCCACCTCCTTCAGTAATTACAAGCTCCACTGCACATAGGCGCACCATCAGGTGGGGCCAGGACTACAAGCACAGCACCACCAGCTCTCATCAGTGCGACATTTTGAATACCATCCATATGCAAGCTGTAGGCCAACGGGAGGCTTTTTACACATCTGAAGCACTACAGCCTTCAGGCCAGTTGGCCGGCTGGGTTCAAAAATGCAAAATTTTGTTTTGTATCATTAGAAGGTTAGCTCACCCCTCATTGGCTCACCATCTGGGCATTCTTTCTTTCCCTCTCAGTGGTGTGGCTTTTCAGTATAAGTGTATCAGCACTACACAGCCTACAGCATAGGGGAGAAAGACAAAAGGATGGAAAAGCACAGGTGTAGAAAAGGAAGCATGCCATGAGAAAAATAGGAAAGGTGTGGAAGAAAGCAAACAGTTGACATGAAGAATATAAATAAGAGAAAATGGAAATTGTAGAAGCTAGGTTTGTCTGATGTTTTAGACACACTTCAGTATCTAATGCACCAACATTAATCATATTAGTGAAAGCATACAGCATATGATGTGACTTAACATTAGAATGAAGCTGCTCTGATACAAAAATATCAAGTCACAGTAATGTGTCACCCGATGGCTTAATGAAAGTACAAAAAATAAAATTTAAATACACCATTACATATCTGCCACTCCCAAAGACAGAAGATTTTTTAAACATTGGTTTAATCTTTTTTTTTTATTGTTACAACTCAAAAACTTTTATCTGTTAAACCCTGTGAGAGTCTTATCTCCATGTGAAACCTTAATAATTTACATCAATGCGGGAGTTGAAGTCTGTGTCAAGACTGATCATTTAGGATGTTCCACAGGGACATTTCATTTTTGAAGACAGCAGGCTAAGAAGATTATAAGCACAGTTTTCAATTTATCTCACACACCCTTACTGCCTTTATTGGCTGGGACCCTCTTATCATCTTTTCCCAGGAGCTAGAGCCTCCACTGTCATCTTCCGCTGTGTCTGCTACTTGGGGTGGTTACATTTAATGCAACATTGTTTATTTGAGTGTTGCCTTTTTACACCAATCACCCAACATTTGGATGGATTGAAATTTAATAAATGAGTGTGTTTAAGTTTTATTTGTGGCAACTTGTTGGAACCCAGTAATCCTGAGATAACATAGCAAAGGCATATAGAGGAGGGTATCAGCATATTACCCACTGAAGTTTATATTATGCATCAGCTGGCCCTTGAGTCATAAAGGGGGAGAGCGGGATAAAGAGA